AGAGCATATTAAGACTATTTCTGTTATACTTAGATTGTCGTTTATTTATATCAAGCCGTAGTATTTAATGATTTTTACAGACAATGATTGTAGACAATGATTTTTATAAAACTGTTGTAATGCAGGCACGTTACTAAGAAATGCACTTGTTATTCTTTTGCACTATTGATGATAACGAGGCATAAAGAGAAGTAGAAAATTCGAAAACACCATACGTCTGGTAGTCACTACTCAACTCATTCTAAAAGCTAACGAGCCTTGGTTACTGATACCTAAATATCTGGTGGATATACATGCATATAAAAATAAATTTAGATTTGTCAATTATTTAGAAATAATATTCAGTTAGAGTTTCGTTTAAAAGTATTTGTTTTGAATATATTATAAACAATTTTCTTTAATCTAAAGTCAGCTAAATTTTATGTTATTTAACTTCCCAACAAAATACAGCTTTTTATAAAAAAAGGAAATAAAAGAGCAAATATTTGATTATGTTGATACACATTTAAAAAAACCAGTTTTTACACGTGGCCAAGTACTTAAGTTAGGCTACGAGTTATTAAGTGCCAGGTACTTTTGGAATTATATACTTTTAACAGCCCTCGTTTGATTATAATTATGGGTTCATAGTTTACGGATTTTATAACATGTACAATAATGTATGAAATAAAGAAAATGAAGTAAAAATTTAATATTTTTGTTTTAAATCTAATACCTTTTTCTTGATTGAGATGACACGAAATATTTTTTCTGACTGTTCACTTTTGTGAGAAGTATTACTTTGCCACTATATATTACCATTTTTTGAATAGAGAGGTGAAATGCACAAATTATAAAGAAGAATTAAGGTCTATTGCTAGTTTAAATTACAATTTATAGTTACATATTTTTATCATACATATATCTTCAAAGAGAAAAAGACTCAGCGACACAGAAGCCTTTTTATAGAAAAAGCGTTAAAGCAGAAGCAAATGAAAAGAAATATAATTTTGGAAAATACAAATCATAAAATTTCGACCGAAATAATTTCTTAAATAATTTAAAGTATAAACTGTGATAATATTTTTCAGTGCTATTAAAATTTTCAGTCCAAAAGTCTGTATTTTACACTTCACATAATCACATTTTTTCAGGGAAAACCTTTCAAAATTTTTCACGCAATTTCATAATAGCAAAAATTTTATACACCTATTATTTATTTTGAATAATCATAACAAATTTCAAAATTTTACAACGTAACAAATTTTTATTATTAAGACTTCCATTTTAATATTATCGCAGTATTATTGAAATTATGATTTCTGTTATAATTTTTACATTTCTAATTTTCTGATTTTACACAAACTAAGAGACCGCACATCTTTCTTCAAACATTTCCATCTATTGGACATATCCACTTGAATTAACTGATGTATTAGTGTTCATATATATATATAAAATTGAAATAGAAATTGAAAAGCTAATAAGTAAATGGTTGTAAGACCTATTTGGTCTTAAAAATTTTGCGCAAAATGCTGCAAAAATATGAAATAATAGGAAGAAATATTATAGTGAGCTCGCTAAAAAGTTACCAGGAGCTGTGGCTCCAAGAAAAAGTTCAACGCAGTATTTTTTTAAATATTAACATGGAAGTAATTTTTAAAAATATTAACATGGAAAGGTGAAAAAACTGCCTACACGCGAGATAAAAATACAGAACATAAAACTGTTAAAATCAATGTTGGAAACATGTGAATGCACAAAAAAAGAGCAAATCATATCGATGTGATATGTGAAAAGTTAATTAAAAAACAGATCGACGGACAACTTAAAACAAAAAGTAAAACAAAATAATTAAAACATAAATTGCAAAAATTACAAAAATTACAAAGCGGGAAATGGTAAATTAGCCCAATTGAAATTTAGGCAATGAAAGCCTGGTTGGAAGTCTAATTGGGCTAATTTACCATTTTCCGCTTTGTAATTTTTGTAATTTTTATAATTTTTGCAATTTATGTTTTAATTATTTTGTTTTAATTTTGTTTTAACTTGTTCCGTCGATCTGTTTTTTACATGAGTTAACTTTTCACATATCACATCGATAAGATTTGCTCTTTCTTTTTGTGCATTCACATGTTTCCAACATCGATTTTAACAGTTTTATGTTCTGTATTTTTATCTCGCGTGTAGGCAGTTTTTTCACCTTTCCATGTTAATATTTTTAAAAATTACTTCCATGTTAATATTTTAAAAAATACTGCGTTGAACTTTTTCTTGGAGCCACAGCTCCTGGTAACTTTTTAGCGAGCTCACTACAATATTTCTTCCTATTATATATATATACATAATATATATGTTTTGGAAGTTTTGCATGAGATGAACTTCTGTATATATATATATATATATATATATTATATATACAGATACATGAACTTCTGTATAGATATATATACAGAAGTTCATCACCTCTCGTATATACCAGCCATGACTACATCTTCGTTATATAAAACACTTACCATCAGATCATCATCGTCGTTTTTGAAATCAGATCTTAATATTTTCATCAAATATACGTATTTGCATTTATATGTGTACACAAGTGAGTAAGTTAGCGTGTATATCTAATAAATATCTAATAAATCAATAAATGAAACAGAAAGAATGTTTTTTTAAATATAAAGTTTTAAATTGATTTTTTTTTTCAAATGAGCGAATGCTGTTAAAAAGATATAGAAGTTTCATATGTCTTTGATCTGCTAAAATAGCAGATGCAGATATAATTTCGCTTGTAGGCGGTGAATACGTACAAACAGACCCATCTACTGACGGCAGTATTTCAGACAAGGTGGCGAAAGCAACAAGGCGAAACGGGAAAACCAACCCGATCATCGCAAAGACACATAAATCGAAACCCAATCTTCCTGTGACATATACCATCCCGCCGACAAAGAGAAGCAAACAGTGTTGCCAGATAGCGGCGAAATGTTAGCACACTGCTTGGGTTTTATCTGAAAGAACGCTTTCCCCAACATGTCCATGATAAAACAGAAAAGAAGAAAAGTTAGCGAAATCTAAGATGTCGACTCGCATATAAGATGGACTACCTCGATGACAGTCCGATCGCGTGGAAATGGAGTCGAAGATAATTTCGGAAGATGAAACCGAATCAAGATGTCGCCTAGAGCAACGACACTTCCTCAGACGAACACGTTCTTAGAAAAAGAGAAAGAAAAAGGAAGACAAATCTACGCGCTTGCAAAAACAGTGTTGCACCTGTTAAGCACTAAAAGTGGCTGTTTCCTAAATATTTACCAACAGAAAGCCTGGGGAAACGTTTGTTGAGAAATAACATTTCATCTAAAATCTACTGTATCTGAATACAAATACAACCCAAAATGTTCTGGAGGGGTTACCAACCAATCTATAGATGGAGAGCTGTGATATAAACCATTTCAAAGAAGTACTCATTCGTAAAACAAATTCCCAGTCCGTGTGACTGATGAATTCTTTTTGTAAATCGTTCATTGAACAAATCAGTTGTACTGTAATTTGCGAGGGTATTGTAACTACTGTTTTGATAGAAATGAAATTTTTCTCCATGCCCCTGGAGACTAATCAGTACTCTTTTCTCTAAGTAAAATAAAATTAAACTTTACTTGTTAAATTTATCTACACGTTTTTAATTAGTCATTAATTTAGGTAGTGTAAATCGGAAAATATAAAGGAGCAGGTACCTTTCGACCGGCCGGTGGCGAAGTGGCTAGCGCGTTGCGCAGTTCTACCTCAGGTCCGGGGTTCGCTTCCCGGGCTGGGAAAGGCTAACTCAGCCTTTCATCCCTTAAGTGGGTCCATAAAATTAGTACCAAGTTCGCTTGGGGACTAAACACCGAGAGCCCTGCGACAAGCTGACCACTTGCCCAGGATATATGCCGATGAACCCCGGGCCCAAAGGTCAAGAAAGCAGAAAAAGGACATTGCAGGCCGTGGCCCACTAGGGCTGTTACGCTACTGAGTTTTTTTTTTTTTTTTTTTTTTAAGGTATCCTTTTAAGGAAACATTTTATCAAATGAGTTGAATGTTCACGACATATAGATTAGACACAATGTTCGCAAATGTATACCTTATAAAAGTTAATGAAAAAGCAGTTAAAACTGAACCCGGCTAAGAAGTTCTTTTAGATAATTTAATATTATTATTATTATTGTTATCATTTATATTATGTAATAAAACTCAAAAAGTGTGCACAGATTTTTCCTGGATTAAACATTCTACCTAAGATGTCCTCCTTTGCCTCAAAATATTTAAATCTATACTACCGAGAATAAGTATTTTTATGAAATTTAATTAATCTTGAAATTTTAGTAAGATAAGTGTACACAAATGTTCGACACAATAAAAAATACGATAATCGCAGAAATATAATTTTGCTGAATCATTCTAAGTCGATAAAGGTAAATGGAAAACTTTACACGAAAATACAAGTTTCGGATAAATATTAGGAAAAACTTTACGAATGTTGTAATTTTTAAATATCTGTTTGTGTAGTTATTTTGCCTTATGCAATGTCGATGAAATAAAAATTGTCTTGTTGAAGGTAGGTGTTGAAAAATTCTGGGCCCTTAAACACGTTTAAGAACCAATTATGTAAAGAAAACGAAGCCTACGATCACATTTGAAAAAAACTACTTTTATTTTTTACCGGATTTTATCGATATTTTTTCAAAAGTTTAAATTAGCAGCTTCTAAATGCAGATTCTTAACAAAGTATTCATTCTATTAAGTCGGTGGTTTCGAACGCGCAAACGGAGAGAAAACTTTCGAAACATCCTTTCGCCGAGTTCGTTTTGAAGGAGAAAAAAGCTTCAGTTAATTGCCAGTGCAGCAAATGTTTAGACTAGATTTCGTAGTTTGGAGCAAAGCACTGATGACGTGAATTGGCAGTTTTCCCACGAAATACGCGTCTTAAAAGTTTTACTTTTCCCTTCCTTCCTAAATAAGCATAATTTTACAGGTGGTACGACGCCGATCTGGCCATGTGGTCTTTTATTTCTTGAAGATAAGTGCGTCTTACTTTTTTTAGGCAGGCAGAAATTCCTTGTTACCATTTTGTTGTTCTCTCTGATCTTTCCATTGCGTAACAAGCATGTAAGCCTTTTTAAATCATTTTCTACCCAGTATCAGTCTTGTTACCATCAGCATATCATATTAATTTTTTATGAACTCACTCTGGCATACAGAGTGGTTCCAATGTTCTGGCGCATTAAAAAATGCTCATAAAAATTATTCACCATTGTAATATATATATAATTTTCCAGTGACCATCAGCATTTCTCATATGCTCCTCTGATAGTCATTTAATTATTTGACAGATCTCACGTTCATCTTGATGAGATGGTCAAGGAAAAGGAAAAAAATTCAAGAAAAGTCAAGTCATTTAGAAAGCATGACTACATGGAGAGAACTTTAATGAACGTGCTGAAGAACTTTAATGAAGCTTTAATTAAGCATGCTGCAGAACGACTTTGTGCATGTATTATAGACTAGTCACCAAAAGAAACGACGCTTAATACTGTATCGAACGCTTTAAAAGCAACGTTTGGTGACAGTGTGATACGAACCGTTGCCCTGAAATCCATATTTATGAAACATTGGGCCATTACTAGTAAGTTATAAATCATCTGTAATATTCTAGCTAAATTAGATTTTCCTGAGAAATAGAATATTGAAGAACTGTGTAGCGCCTGTTCGCTGAGTGCTTCTAAGTAACAAGTTCAAAGGAGGGTTAAATTTACCGTTTATTCCAACTCAAAATAAATGAACAGGTGGCCCCTTCTCAGGCTTACAGTAATCCTCCACGTGGGCTTTGACTCACGATAGAAAATAGAAAACTAATCTAATACTAACTAAAATTAATCAGGCGAGGCGGCACAGAATCAACTGTCTGAGTTGGCCTTATTTAAGACCACCGGCGTAATTTAGCAGGCACGTAACAAAGCGGCTGTAGAAAACTTAGCAGCAGCAACGTGGCCAAAAGGCATAACACGCGCTCCTACTAAAGTGACCCAGACTTCAACTTAAATGCTCGTTTCTACCTCATTTGCATAAATCATAATTTTGAAGACACATTCTGGCAACGTAGGTGGAATTTAAGAATGAATAGGAAAGGCTTGTTTCAAACTAAAAATAGCTATTAAAAAAGTAAAGTAAATCCTGCGCATTTTTAGTTAACGACTAGCGATATTAATTCATATCTAGTTCTTTTAAATGCTTATTGCAAAATTTCCATTGCTTTCTGTGTTTCATGATTGTTTTCTCGACAGACTGTGCTATATGCATTTTCTCTTTTATTTGACTATTGATTAGCAAATATACATTTGATTTGTATTTGATTGCATTTCCCTAGCCGATAGGAGGGAAAAATTAAGAGAGATAGAGAATTTTGCTTTTGAGAAAGAGGAAATAATGTTTTATCGCCCTCGAAAATCGGTATTTTTAAACGCTGGAGTTTTTTAGGGATTGTTGAAAGATGTGCCTTAATGTTACTGAAAATATGGCCACACGCTTTCATGAGCGTTTACAACAGGAGAAGTGTGAAGCTGATTATATAACGAAGTGAACATGCTTTGATAACAAACCATTTATGCATCAAACTTTTATAAAATATTATTGAAAAATTGCAGTTTTTTAACCCAAATTATAATTTTCTACTACATTTAATAAACTATGTCAATTTTTTGTACGCTATCTGTAGTAATAAAGTCAGAAATACGACTTCCACTGCAAATTTTATTAAAACTATCTGTGATGTATGATTTCAAAAGAAGACCGTGTAAGGTTTATCCTAAGTTTTTAACAGTTATCATTAGTTAAAACTACTTTCCTGTCCCTTCTAATTTCAGCTTACAATTTCCTGCCAGACTGTGTTTTTAGAATCGCGGTTAATGCAAATGGAGATAGAGCGGTACTTAAGTCGAAGTTCCACTGACTTCGTTATAGAGCCAGAGATTCTGACTAGCGCGCGTTTGCCATTTGGTTACACTCTCTCTAAGCTATTACTACGCTCAGCCGTATTTGAGACCCTTGCTATCTTCGCCGTTTAGTTAACATTAAGGGGCCAACTCCTTTAGAATTTTAATAGCTTCGGCTATATTTTTTTAGATAAGCATGAGTTAAGTTTGATTTCTTAGTACTCTTGAGTTCAAGCTCAAGTGGAGGCTTTTATGTACGCTCTAAGACAGGAGCCAACTGTAAATTCTAGTTTTGAGAAATAAAGGGTAATTAACACTTCTTGAGTTTACGTTTCCTGAGCTAAAACGATTATTCGCTTACCAGCTCGAGGTTCCACACACATGGCTGTAAGAGAAGAGGTGGGAAACCTATAACCGCAACACATATTTAAAATTACTGGATATTTTTAAGTGACGTTTTATATTCTGCATTGTATCATTCAAGCCATAATGTGATTCTCGAGGAATGTACAGTGAGCATGTCTAACAACAATAAAAGAGAACAGAAACAGATGTAATAAAATGCAATAATCTTTATTATATGCGGCTTAAGTGTCTATTTGTCCCCGATAGTTTATTGGTTGCTTGCGTAAATGTACTAGCCAATGGGGTGAAGTTGCCACGGCATTCAAATAGTCCATATACACTGATACCATACATGCAGTTATCATTGTTTTAATTAAATTATCATGGTATTTAAGAACATTTAAATATTTTTAATTCATACAATTCTTGCTTATTATGCATTTAACTATATTTACGTATGAATTACCTAGAAACTTGCAAACGTTGAGAAATTAAAGGAGACGAAACCAACTAACGAGTTGTGCGTAGTTCATCTCATCAGGTAGGTTTACCCAAACTCCTATGCTAAATATCCTTTAGCGTAAAGACTTTAAAATTTTGCCCGATTTTATTCCGACATTGTATTTTAAACTGAATTTTCAGCTGAACGCGAATTGAACGTGTCAGAGGGAACGTGAACATTTGTCTGCATTAGCAATCATCTGTTTATAATCAATTTATAATCATCAATTTATAACATCTAGAAACAGAGATCATTTCGTATGACCGCCGGGCTTTCTAGTTTATTAATAAGCGAATATTGAGTTTTGTAAATGGAGGCATAGATCATGAAACTAAAGAAATATGAACATTCTGAGACTAAAGAATCCTTAAGTATGCAAAAGGAAATCCCGTAAGCTTATTGACGCTATATTACACATTTAGATTAATTTTATTGATACTTCAAAAAGAAGACATAAAATATCTAGAACAGAGATCATTTCGTATGACCGCCGGGCTTTCTAGTTTATTAATAAGCGAATATTGAGTTTTGTAAATGGAGGCATAGATCATGAAACTGAAGAAATATGAACATTCTGAGACTAAAGAATCCTTAAGTATGCAAAAGGAAATCCCGTAAGCTTATTGACGCTATATTACACATTTAGATTAATTTTATTGATACTTCAAAAAGAAGACATAAAATATCCTTACGTAATTTTAGATTATTACCATATGCTTGATAACTAACGGTGTTCTAACACCCGTTTCTTCATTAGCTGCATAATATCTGTCACTAAACATTAAGCCACACTTCATAATTACAGTCTTTATCCATAATAATGAACGACATATAAGTAAATGATATATCCATTGCTTACATATTGAGTCATAACTGTTACCTAATGTCAGAGATAATCTTATCATCCCATCTATTCCGAGATTTTAAAATAACCTTGGCTGGAGTCTCATCTTCTAACAACGTGATGGTTAACACCTACCACATTTCGGTAATGAAAACCTCAGGAACCACGCTTCTGGAAACCGCACACGATATCGAGGTCATCAGAGTTTTCGATGCATGATTTTCAGCTTTTTTATGCTCATCTTTTTTATCATTGACAACAAAACCTTCTTTCAAACAAGCAACACTGTAGTTATAAAACTAGAGAGAGGAAAAAAAACACGATTCTAGTTTAAGGGTTAAAAATATTTCTAAGGACATAACGGCAGCTGGTATTCAAAATCTTAATATTTAAACAAATTTTAGTTGCTTATAACGCTGCTAGATGATACTAAATGCTTTTCTGCAGTTTATAAGTTTATTTTATAGACATTTCGTAGAGAGTAAGATAAGCTGTTCTTTGATCGTTTTCTTGAGCTAGAACACTTTCATCAATTCAAACCAAATGCTTGTCTGAAAATATTTTATAATACGGCATAGTAACAAATATATCGTGAACTTATTTTCATATTTGTTTACCTTGCAAAGCATGCATGCTATATTATGAAACTCTAAGATGTTTAAAATCCACTTGCAAGCACCTATAACTTCCGAGATCATTAAATTGATTATATTTTGTATTTATCTGAAACCACTGATGAACAATACATAGCTTAGTGTTAAGGTTTCGATTTAATCTCCTTAAAAAACCATAGAAAGTATACTAATGAATGCGAACAAAGGTATCCACCGAAAACATCACGAACGAAAATATTGCGAGAAAGTAATGCAAGGCGAAAACATCGTCGTAAGAAACATCATGGGTGAAAAGAAAGGAAGGAGAAAAATCACAGTTCTTAAAACATCGTAGTATAAAATATCATTATCGAAAATAAAGCAGTTAAAAAAACATTGTAGTTTTAAAACATCGTCGAGAAAAATATCATAGTAAAAAATATCTGCAAATCATCGCATGACGATAAGATCGCGGATATGCGTTTTGCCAGCTTTAAAAATTGTAAGTGTAATATTCGTGTAATGATTTGTGAGCACAAAAGGAAATGATCTATTTATTTCATATTTTTGGATTAACTAATATTTTTACTCTAAAGAAGAAAGAAGGAAAATTAAGCTTTCAAAAACTGAAGATCAGTAGAAAATGAATGCTATGCATAAGAGTTAATGAAAGGTGAAACTTCTCTCAGCTTCTGAAGTACTTTTTTGATATTCGCTAAATGATTTTTCCAAATTGCATCCATTAATTATCATGTCATCGAGATGCACAAGACAGATTTCATATGATAGAGTTCTCAAAACTGTTTCGCTTAAGAACACTATACTGTTCACGAGGCATTTCTTTAAACTGTCAGAGGTCTTCTCCTGTAGGAAATGCTGTTTCCTCATAATCTTTTAAATCTTGTTTCATGTTTTTACATCCCATCTTCATAATATCTAGAATTAAAAATTATTTATTTCTGCCAAGATGTCTCAGGGGTGATAATTGCTTCTATCTTTCTTTGCAAATGTTTTTTTAAATCTCGGTCGTCAATGTAGAGCCATCTTTCCTACGACCTAAGATAAGAGGCGATGCCTATGAAATAGAAAAATATTCGGTAATACATTCTGTTGCATTTTCTTCGGAAGCTTCCCGACTTCATCTTATTAAGAGGAAGAAAAATATCCAGGATGTTGTTTATCGAGCGGATGTCTTCCGGTGTCTATCCACTAATGAATCACTTTCGTGCGACTTAACATTGTTAGATGAGTTCGGAAAATATACCTTTAATTTTGTCTTATTAAATAATTCATAAAGTTTTAATTGATCAGTATTTAATTCTGGGCCTCATATATTTTATTGTAATATTTGTAAAAGTAATTCATGAAGAAATTTCATTTCCAATTTTTAAATCACATGTTCTATAGCTTACAGGAGTCGTTCAATAAACTTTAAGTCTAACACACTAGTAAAAGATAAAAATCTGAGTTATTGTCATAGTTTTTTATATAATTTCTCTTGAATTCATTGCACTTAGCGCAGCGATTTGCTAAGTATCAGATTCGAGAATAAATAAAAACATGTTTTTCACACCCTTGAAAATATTCCTAAACAATATTTTTCAAATATTCATCGTTGTTCTAACAAGAACTATACGAACGTTGCTTCAGTTTTTGAAACAAAAAGAAGTCAGTTAGGTCTGGTGAATATAGTACTGACAAAAGAAGCTGAAATCTACATTGCTGTACAGCATTCTAGGATACTTGAGGCTTGCGTCTGTGGTCTGTAATGCAAAGGCAACACTTTTCTTCATAGTCTGCAAGGATGTTTTTTACCTTTACGGCTTCTTGGATTTGAATACACATGTTAGCATAATAAATGCCTGTTATAGTAATATTATATAGCTTATAATCACTAAAAGGCAGTTCCTGTTTATCACAAAATGTAATAAGCAGCATCTTCCGGGTGTTAGAATATTTATAATGTTTTAGAATGGATTTCTAAAACTTGTGGGAATGGAATAATCCACTGGATTTATAGATTATGCTGACTTGTTCTTGCCTGCATCACAGACTAAAGTTATGTTTTATCGTCTATCGCTAGCTGCAAATAAGAATTTACCGTTAGCAACGTGATAAACGTCTATTTATCTCGTTAGCATTTATCATGCGGAAATAAATCCCGAGGACATTCCATATCATGTTTATTTATCTCTAGATTCAGCATTCTGGGTACCTATCTAGCATAAACTTTCGTTACCTCAGCTTTCCCTGGAGGATATTTTACACTGATTCAACGTTGATATTAAATTTCTGCAGCAGTTTAAGTAATTGTCACTCTTCTGTTTTCCGTTATTCATCTCTCGACATTGATCACATTCAATCTGGGATCACATCCATACTGGTTTGGAATCATCTTCAATTACTGATGCTTTCCGCTTTCTGAATATGGCAGACCATATTTTGACATACTGATAGGGCTACAGAAAATGTTTTCAAGTTTTCATTACCGCATACCATACCCAATACCACAGTTTGCAACCATGTTTTCACGAAAACATGTTGGTGTTATGAATTTAGTCAAAACTTCAGTCATCAAGCGACGTTTGATATATTACATCTTCAATATTAACCGATATCACTGACGATCAGCATTCAACGTACTTTTTTTATACTTCTAAAGAATGGTGCTATAACTTTTACTGCGTTTCGTCATCATACAGATATTACCTCAGAACTTATTGAACATCCATGATATGCTGACAACTTTCTAGAGCATTTTCTTTCGTTAAATTCAAAGCACAGCAGAAATTAGCAATTCTTTCAAATCTTTGCTTTATATAAGAGAATTAGAAAGTTCTATATTCAAGTTTTCGTAACTTTTATTTGGACTTTAAATTACATATTCTATTTAAAGAGGGATAGTTATATTCTCATAAACTATTATTCGATAATAGCGCATTTCGTTGTTTTTGTTCTAAACATTAGGATTTCTTTGGCAGAAGTACAAAGTCTTTCTCATATGAACAAAATCAGCATTTAAATGTTTCAGTGTATGTTACTTTCATATAAAAACAAATTTTGCAATTTCCGTTGGATAGGATTCTAGCGAATTAAAGAAAAAATTAATTCAATAATGCAAAAAATAATAATAATTTTACATTACACCCAAAGGGGCTTTTTTTTTTTTTTTTTTTTTTTTTTTTTAAACGTTTTGTGTGTTACAAACGTTTGTGCTTTGTGTGTTGCCTTTATTTATTAAATATCACGTTCTTTGCACTTAAACCATAAAATTCAGTTCAACAGCAATATGGCAAAATAATTTTACAATATGCATATCTTTAGAATTTCCGATACGCAGTCTCAAGTTCTGGAGATAAAAATGTTTTTTTTTTTTTTTTTTTTTTTTTTTTTTTTTTTTTTTTTTCCCGTACAGAGTTGCCATTTTTCGCTTTAAAATCGTATGATTGTATTTTGGTTTTTGTATGCTTTTATAATGTTGTGTATTATTTTTATTTATTTATTTGATGCATCTTATGTAATAATTTAGAGTGTAATTTTTTTTAATTTACTCAATACCAATGATCACATAATTTGAATTTATATATCAGGTTAAAAGATGTTTTCTTACTGCCTTTAATTTTGAACTTTCACCCCCTCTATTCGAGGTAGGTTTCTTTGCTTATGATGTTCTTTTGTAAAGCACGTGTCTGAATCACGGATGTTGGATGAGACGCCCTCCATCCTCCATCGGCCGGCGGGATGGAATATCCGAAAACGTGGAGGAACGGATGCACGTCTCGAGGGATTTAAATGTACCATTTAGTAATGGATGTTACATGTTCTTAACCATTCCTTTTCGTGATTTAAAGTGCCTGTTTTCCGTGTGTAATATAATTGTTCGTCTTCTTATACCTTCATATTGCTATTAAAATTATCCGATGCTGTATCATTTGTGTGATCATTGGCCTGAACACAATTTACATTAAAGTTTTATGATTTCTTGTCAGAATTAGTAAGTTCGTTCCACCCAATGAACGGTTTAAAGTATTTATTATTTTTCTTGCTGTTGAGCTTCAGTATTAATAAAAATATCTTAAGTGGATACCACACGAGTTCCTTGTACAGCCCTATTAAATTATGCAAAATTTTTGCTTCACTTCATTTAAACTTATTTCCTTGAATTTCGTTAAATATATATTTCTAATGCAATCAATTCAGCTCTCACTTCGCAACAAGGCAAAAATACAAAAGAAAAACTCAATCTTCATTAAAAATTATAAAATACAGAAAAACCTAACACACCAAATAAATTTTAAAATACGAGTTAGAAAAAAACAAATTGTACAATTAAAATTATTCTACTCAAAAACAAGTAATTCGGCCAGCGGGAAGGTAAAAAAAAAAAATATTCTCGCTGAACGGGCAGAAAGACGCTTAAGTTGGTGCACCAACTGACGTAATTCACTACTCTAATAAGAGTTTCAAATGTAAACAAATTGTGGCCTCGTTAAGCTTAGTAACACTTAAACTTTATATACAAAAACATCTTTCATACAGATTTCACATGGGTTATGGATGTTTTCGTTGAAATAGGATACCCGAAATTTTTCGCGATTACAATAAAACTATGTGAGAAATTGATTAGAATATCTGAGCACCGATGGTAGCAATTAAGCAATTCTGCTTATGTTACCCCGATTTACATGAAACCGACCAAGGGATAGTATCTGGCGATCTTATAGCTTCTACTCTTTCCTTACTGCTAGTCTCTCAACAGGAATTTTAAACTGAGACTGACGGATTATTTATATGCTCTTACTTCGCATAAAAGTGATGAAGACAAACGTTCATACTTTCCAGGGATACAAACCCCGGCTACCTCTGTCGACCACTATATAGAAACTAGCAGCTTCTGTATGTGTTTCAAAATAAAAATTAGTTCTATTCATAATTACATACTTTATATTAGCAAGTAAGTATGCTTCCTTTGAAAAACTCACTCGGCCTTTTCGTGTGATAAAAATAAATAATATTAATAAATCAATTAAGGATAGGCCTTTTTTATGACATCGACTCAATATTTTTAAGCAAGAACTTTAGATATCATGCTAATGTTGAAAATAAATGAATTAAAATGCATGAAAAATAAATGAATCTTACCATTTTGAATGAAGAGGGAAAATTCGAACTTCGATTCCATAAATGGTGAAAAAAGATTAGAGATTCAAAAACTCTAACATTTTAATGTAATGACACTTTTGAATGCTTAGTTTTACTAAAATCCAAAGAAGGGTTTATTAAAAGGGAGAACACGATTGTTACAATTTCAGTTACGCAGTATTAATTTCCAGGCGGCCTTAAGTATCACACTAATTTATGCTTTTACAGATTCTTAACATAAACGATTTTAAAATCATTTTTCTCATTTTCTAAAAAGCAATTAATGTTCCATAACAGTATTTGTCAATGTTAACTCTTCAAATAATCCTCTTCCCTCTGCGCTTACTTCAATTAAAAAAATGTAAAGCGCTTTAATTGTTATTTAAATACGCTTTGTCAAACTCTACTAAGCAAATGAATGCCAAGGTTCAAGAGTTTCAATTATGTTAAAAGATATTTTCTCCTTGCTTGCCTCATGTCTTCGTGGTGTAATTGGAACCGCAAATAGTTGGACCTTAATTAAGAATCACCGGCGCATACTAGCAGGCACGCATTAAGAATAGCAAGCTTTGACTAATAGCAGTAACGTGGCCGAAAGGAGGATACGCTCTCCTACTGAAAATACTTAGACCTCAACTTAAATACTAGTTTGTACTTTATTTGCATAAAACGTAATGCTGAAAACTCATTCTGGTAGGAAATCGTATGTAGAAAATTAAGAAGATAAAGGAAAGGCCTGTTCAGAAATAAAAATAAATATTAGCAAAATAAAATAAAACCCCAGCATTTCTTTTTTCAATACTATAGATGTCAGTGATGCCAATAAGTCCAGCTTCGTTTAAAACTCTGGTAGAATTATTAATTAAATTGAAGGTTCCTCTTAAAAACTTATTGGGCTTTGCTGCTGATAATGTTGTATTTATGATGGGACAACAATCTGGCATTTAGGCTCGCCTTAAATCATTAAATGAGTATTTATGTTCACCAGGTGTACATATGCCATAGCTTTAATTTATGAGTAGTTAAAAAATTGTAAGAAACAACAACATTTATTAGGAATATTATGTCCCGGTATTTATGATTTCATGCAAAAGAAACGAAAAGTTTAACAGAATTTTAAAAAAAGGCTTCTCAAACTTAAAGTCACACAAGTTGCTAAAGTTGGGTAAATCCCGATGGTTAGCAATGCAAAGAATAATAGAGTAATTTGGTTTCATACAATAAGTATCCCAAGTAGCACGGCAACGTCGTAGCGACGTTGCAAACTGGTCGCGGATGTCGTTTAAGACGCCCAGATGTCCGCGAAACTCCACTGTTTCGCAACCGTTGCAAAGACGTGTTTGTTACGTCTTTGCAGATAAGATTTATGTTGAATAGACGTTGTTACTACGTCTTTCTCACATTATATTTTGGTTGTGAAAGCATCGTACCACGACGTCTTAACGACGCCTAAATGTTCGCAGAATTCAACCTTTTGCAACAGTTGTGAAAACGCCGCTATGATGTCCTTGTGTTACATATTGATTTATGCAGAAAAATAAGCTTAATAATTAATGTATTTTTCTTCTTTTTTAAAAATTTTGTATTCCTTGTATTTTTCTAAAGTTTAAATATCTTGTCATTACTTGAAAACCAGAAGATTTTTTCTCTTTAGACTAAATATGGATAATTAATAATAGCTTTAATTATTTTCAGTACTTCAATCAGTATTTTAACTGAACAAATATAAATTTATTCGCGTTTCATAGTAAAAAAATACTAGAATTAACATCTATATCTCCGAAATATGCAAATGAAAGACTATATAAAGTAGTTAATAAATGTGATCAAAAATATTTCATACAAAAATGTACTACCTAAACCAAAAAACTTCCCATGTTCATAATTAAAATGAAATAATAACCTAACAAACAAGAATTTACGAAATTTAAGAAAGAAATTATTTAAGATTATTAATAAGGAAAAACATGAACTAGCAGTGTTTAAAAGGATAAATAGCGAAAAGAAGGTAACAGAACTCAAATTTCCAATTAATAAAAAAATATTGCGCTTTTTAAATATTAGTGCAATATTTAAAAGTGCAATAATTATGAATTGCAGTAATTACTAGTAATGCTGATGTTTCTTAACTCCATTTCTTTCGATCATATGTAAATATGTATTAATATTAGTTTCTACATTTTAGAATAGTGGTAGATTACAATGATCATTTCATGCACTTTTAAATCAATAACTTTTCTTTGATACAGTACAGAAATAATTTAAATAATATAGTATACGATAGTAGCTAAGTTCGTTAAGTAAGCTCTTCGTTAAATAAGCCACACGATGAAACTTTTTGTTTTATATGATTCTTTGTTAGCACATGCACATATAATGTAAGAAAGAAATAGAATATGCTTAAATTAATAAAGAATAAAAACCTAATTTCCAACATCATTTATATAGATAATCTAATAGACATAACAGCAATATTAAAAAAAAGCGAATTACACAGAGTTTGGAAGAATAGCTACCAAACGACAAGTAATAAAACTGCAATTTGCAATCAATAAAAAATATTTAGTGCTTTTCAATACTATACAATTAAGTATGGCATAATTATAGATTACAATATTTCATACTAATGCTAATGTTTCCTTAACACTATTGTTTCGATTATACGCGCAAAGTCTGAGTACCAAACTGCATTATGAATAAAATAATCGATTAATATGAATGATATACGATATAGCACTTAGGACGTTATAACCGAATCCGTTTATCCAAATATTGCACCGCTGGATCACTGAAGACTGGACAGCACCACCATGTAAGTTTAATCACCAGAAACATAAAACACCAAAACAGAACACTATTTCACGGTGTGGACGATTTTAGCACGTTGCATTGCGTTGCGCGTTGCATGCACGTTGCATGACAACAGAATTTTTATAATCTCCTAAAACAAGAGTGTGACTTTTAGTGTGCTGAGATGAGAATTTTTTAACTGCTTAATTAATAATGTTGGGGGGAAAGCCCCTGTCAATAGCTATTACTTTTAAATAATTTAGTTCTTCATCAAGGGATAGTTTGGAGAAGCAAACTTGAAGAGCACGGAAAACATAAGAATAAAATGAAGCTAACTTTTGTTTAGTCGGATGACATAATTTAAAGTGTGAACTAGTTGTTCAAAGATTAGGATTGTAACGAAGAAACAATCGGTTAATTCTTCGTGGAATATGCGGAGTACCAGCTACCAAGACTTGTAGCTAGATTAGTTTAAGAATTGGATTAAGATTAAACAGCGAAATAATTGACGTTCACGCATATATTTTGGATAGGTTATAAGGTGCCTCCCGCCTTCCCAGTGTGCCTTCATGGTATAGTGGATTTGCACGCTGGGCCGGTATTCCAGAGATCTGTGGTTCAATTCCCGGAGAAGGCGTTGCTAATTTTTCAATCTCTCTTTCTTCCAAAAATACCTAATCTCTCTACAAGGTTAACTTCGACATTGACGGAGCAAGTCGTTAATGTAAAGCATATGATTACATCAAAGCTATTCCGTTAGCAGATCCCAATTTTGCTCTGCCCAATGAAACTGATTTGATTTTAGGAGCTGATTAGTTTTTCTCCGATCTAAGGTGTGGATAAATATATGGTTCTGAAAATGAGTCTGTAACTCAAAATGCAATTTTCGGTTGGGTGATTGCTGCGGCGAAGTAGGTACTAATATGGAAAGTGCACAA